CGTAACTCATTTACGTATAGATGATATATTTTGAAGAAGATAATGTAATGATATACTATGTTACAAGATTATATGATGGTAACTAATTTACGTATATATTATAAAATGGATGTTGTGTTGCAGTAACGGTTGGTGCTTTCCTGGCCGGAGAATGAAATGCATGCACAAGCCTTGGATTATTCTTCTAGGATTATAAGCTGGTTCCCAACAGCAAATCGCCGCTCTCCACTCCACTGGATAACCCAAGGGAACATCATGTGGATGATACAGCTTGACACCAGTGATGTCGCAGGAGTTGTCAGCATGTTTCATTGTACCAATTTTATCCGCCTACGGGACTCCATCTCCAGGTTTGAATTCAGAGTTTCCTTCTCTTAGAAGAGTTTCCATCCAAGGTTAACGAGTGATGTTGTTGTTGGCTTTGGTGGGGATTGAAGTCCAGACCATCCAATTGTGATTTACTCAGTTTGGACTGATGGGGTACCCAGCACCCACCCCCCAATTACAAAATAGAGAAGAAAAAATGTTCCCCAGGGTGGACCACGCCCCCCCCCCCCACCTTTTCCTTCGGTAGTGAATGTGACCTTTAAATATAGGGGGAGGGTCGTATACATTAATTATGATCATGTAACGTATGTTTGTGATTGACCCGATCAAACACATCAACGTAATGGACTGGCGTGATTGACCCGATCAAACACATCAGCGTAATCGACTGGCGTGATTGACCCGATCAAACACATCAAAGTGATCGACTGGCGTGATTGACCCGATCAAACACATCAACGTAATGGACTGGCGTGATTGACCCGATCAAACACACCAACTTAAAGGACTGGCGTGATTGACCCGATCAAACACATCAACGTAATCGACTGGCGTGATTGACCCGATCAAACACATCAACGTAATCGACTGGCGTGATTGACCCGATCAAACACATCAACGTAATCGACTGGCGTGATTGACCCGATCAAACACATCAACGTAATGGACTGGCGTGATTGACCCGATCAAACACATCAACTTAAAGGACTGGCGTGATTGACCCGATCAAACACATCAACTTAAAGGACTGGCGTGATTGACCCGATCAAACACATCAACGTAATCGACTGGCGTGATTGACCCGATCAAACACATCAACTTAAAGGACTGGCGTGATTGACCCGATCAAACACATCAACTTAAAGGACTGGCGTGATTGACCCGATCAAACACATCAACGTAATCGACTGGCGTGATTGACCCGATCAAACACATCAAAGTGATCGACTGGCGTGATTGACCAGATCAAACACATCAACGTAATGGACTGGCGCGATTGCCCCGATCAAACACACCAACGTAACGGACTGGCGTGATTGACCCGATCAAACACATCAACGTAATCGACTGGCGTGATTGACCCGATCAAACACATCAACTTAAAGGACTGGCGTGATTGACCCGATCAAACACATCAACTTAAAGGACTGGCGTGATTGACCCGATCAAACACATCAACGTAATCGACTGGCGTGATTGACCCGATCAAACACATCAAAGTGATCGACTGGCGTGATTGACCCGATCAAACACATCAACGTAATGGACTGGCGTGATTGACCCGATCAAACACATCAACGTAATTGACTGGCGTCATTGATTCATCAAAATGTCACTACTGATGACGCCACCTACCCTCTCCGTGGCTTGCTTGTGTCGAAAGGGAGGCCAACAATCGGATCTGGACATGAGCTGAACGATAACGTCCCCGGGTAGTTCCAGTGAGGGGCAGTCTCATAGCACTGGAGACAAAGAGATAACACTTTTGGAAAAGCAGTCGAGGCTAGAGGAGGGAAGGGAAATGTTGACGTGGAACAGTGATTCTCAACCTTTCCCATATTCGACACTGCCCATGAAATTGTTTGACTAGCTGTCACACCCTAAACAAAAGTTCATCTTTTTTTAAAAATTGATGTTTCTTCTTTTTTTTTTTTAAATGAACTCAAAAGAGAAATTTGAAAAGAAAAAACTGTGACCTACAGGTACTTTATACATTAAAATGTTAATAAAATATTGTTTACATAATATATTATATATATAAACATTAAGAGCATAGCTTAAAACACAATGGTTCACATACCCCAAATTGCCAACCTTCCGTAAAAANAAAAAACAAAAAAAAAAAAAAAAAAAAAAAAAAAAAAAAAAAAAAAAAAAAAAAAAAAAAATTTTAAAGAGACAATTTCAAAAGATGTTTTAAAGAGAAAAAAACCCGCTTCAATGGGCCTTTCCATAACTTCCAAAAATTTCGACCTTCTTTAAACTTCTGGGATCATAATCAGATGAAACTCAACACGGTTTAAAATGTCAAAAATAAACAAACATGGGCTTGATATAGGGTTATAGTATAGAGACATCACATAGTTATAAGAAAGTTGGATTTATTTTTTAACACTATAGTTATAGTTATAGTTTCCATGTACCGGTAAATTTTTTTTTTAAAAAGTGTTTGTCTGAAATAAAGTTGTGGAGATTAGCATCGCTTTTATCTGAAGCTGCGGTCTCACCAACAGCGGCCCCACGGGGATGATGACGTTGCTTCTGAACCTGTCCGCATCTTTCCTCGTTGGGTTGCCGGCAGGGACGGAGTACTGTACTCTGTACGGATGTAGCTTAACGGTGGAGGCCGCACACCCTGTGGTCGACAACATCTTGATCACTGTGAACAGACACAGGGATTGGAGGGGACGGGGGAATGGGAGGTCCAACAGTAGCCAAAGGATTAACTCAGATTTGGTTCTGTTCTCTGAGGTGATCAATGAAAATAAGGCTGAATTCAATACTCATTAATATCTCAAGTTAAAAATAGTCGTCCCGGTGTTTTCCAGCGTTTCTGACTCAATGAGTTTATTTTATGGGGGGGATCCCCTGAAGCCAACCCTACGTCTTACAAGTTCATCGTGTTTAGGAGTTTCCTGGTGAGGTCACGGCCTTTTCGGAAAATTTGTTCCGGGTGGTTGGGGTTGGGGGAATTTTAGATGTTCGTGTGGGCAGTGCCAGCGGCGTAGAAAGAGTGGGTAGAGGGATTTTACAGGAGGGGCGGCATCTTCGGCTGACTAGAGTTTTATAGTGGAAAGGGGACGCCCAAAAGTCTTCGCTCACCCAGGGTGGCACTTATCTTACCTACACCACTGGGAAGCGCCACAGTTAGGACCAACTAGGACCAACTAGGACCAACTAGGACCAACTAGGACCAACTAGGACGAACTAGGACCAACTAGGACCAACTAGGACCAACTAGGACCAACTAGGACCAAGGGTTGCTATAATTCTAAATAACCTCTAAATAATTCTCAATATTCTCTATAGTGTAATACTAAATTAATTTTATTTAAGGGTATGCTTTTTGCCCACGCTAAATTTCACCCCTGGATCTATAAAGCCCAACAGAAAGCGAGGGAGACGATCGCGGCCGTTTGAAAAATCAAGAGGGTCTGGGGAGCGTCTGATAGGGGTTCAAAAAAAGTTTGTACAAATTCAAAATCAATTGGTTCAGTTAGGCGTGTACCTGAATTCGGTGTTTCTATCATAACATGTCATCATAACATGTCATCATAACATGTCATCCGTGGAGGGGACATTTCTGATATGGGAAGGGCATTTACCAGCGCGCTTAAAATTAGACATTCTCGCACCCGGTGCTATACATAAACTGATGCACTCTGGCTGTTGCGATCCCCAGGGTATTATTTTGGCCCAAACTTAGTTTTGCTCCTGCACTGCCACATTGATCGGCATGGTGATGGAGGTAAAGCGGCAATCGATGGCGTCAAAGGCTCCCGGGCGAATGCGGGGGCAGGTGAGGATATCTAGGGAGTGGGGCATTGATCCCTTTCCCATGAAATTAGTGATAAATTCAAAATGCATTGATGCATTTTGGCACATGCCTAAATTTAGTTTTTCATCATTCTGACTTAATCGGAGAGCAACAGAAAGTAGGTTTCTCTTTAACTGCTTGTGTTGATAAAAATATTATACTTTTGAAATTTAAATTATTGTTTTTTGTTGTTTTATAATATTTTTTTTTTACATTTTAAACAATTTATTTTATTGAACTGCTTCATTTAAACAATTTTTTTTTTAATTCCATGCAAAAAGGAGACCGTCACAAAAAAAGCAAATGTACTCATTATCTTCCTCAATATTTCCAAGTTATTCCAGATATTAAAATGGGAGAGAAAAACATGTTTTGGGGAAAAGGTCTCTATTCTTTCCTTAATGACAACTTTTATAAATTGTTTATAAGTGGCACACATTATACCGGTACTGATAACTATCTTTTAAAAGACAATATAAAATTAATGACCTGCCCTAGTTTAAATGTTGATCTCAGATTGTAAAGAAATCGAAACTGGAAACACATTACGAAGTTTAATCGCACAAAGTTCATTAAATTCTTAGCTTACCAGTATATAAATTGAGAAAAAAGTATATTACATTTCACATATACAATTTGAGCACTTCGATTAATAAACATTCTAACCAAGTGACAGCAACATTTTCTCTAACTATAAGAAATCAACAAACACTTCCGAACTTACGTGACGTATGCTAGATTTAAAACGAAAGTGGAAACTGCTGTGGGGAATTTAATGGATTAATTTTTTATTTTTTTTAAATTCGAGTATAATTTTCTAAATGCTTTTAATATTATAATTTTTGGCCTTGATGCTCAAAAGGAAATTGCGATGAAATGATGTGCATCCTTCAACAAAGTAGCGCACATTTATTAGCCATTAGCTCACATATCTATCTTATGTGTAGTGTGTGAGTGTGTGTATGCCTAATTACTATTTCCAATCATAACAACAAACATGGACGTCTTTCCGACAAAGTGACGTTTGTCCCTTACAATGATGACGTCATTCACATCATGCTGTCCAAATGCCCTGCATTTCTTTCTTCCCCCATCGCGGTCTCCATGGCGCGGCAACAGATTTCAAAATGAAACCTAAAGATCCCGATCTGGAAATGTGAAGTTACAAAACTATTTCTTGGAATGTACCCCCTGGGTAAGACTGAGGCTGGTAACGTGTGATGAAAATTTCAAATGTCGGCACTTACATTCATCAACAGAACTAAGCTTTATTAACTGTTATATTTATAATAGATGAATTAATCTTAGAGTTACAACAAACACGCTGTGCTGTTCCAGGTCGAATAGAATAGGATTGCGTGTGTCAGGCGCTCCTCTATGTTCACTGTACTTCTGCATCCCTGAACGTCTTGTCTGTTTTGTTTTTTTTTTTTTTTTTTTTTTTTTTTAAAAAAAAATAATAATACCTTTTTTTTTTTTTTTTTTTTTTTTTTTTTTTTGTTAAAAAAAAATAATAATACCATTATTTATGACTTTGTCATGTCTATTTCTATTATCAACTTATTTTATGACTAGCTGTAGTCAGCCAAACAAAGTCAGACGCAATGCGTGAGTGTCCCATACTACTAAAATGACCTGACAAAACATGCATTCAAGTAATCAACTTTATAAGATTAAGATTACCAATTAGTCCTACCCTCCCCCCCGCCACCTCCGGTAAGCCGTCGCCCCTGAACAATATTAATACAACGAAGTGGCTATTCGGACCCGGGTCCGAGAAGTGAGAGGTTGGGATTAAAATTTTAAAAAAAATATATTATTGTAGGATTTGTAAGACAAAATTTGGTAACAAATGAAAGATAATTGAATGGAGTATATGTTTGTAAACTTACTTCTTCAGTTTAACTAAAATAAACTACCACAAATAACATCCGAATAGCATTGAGTCTAATGGTACCCGGGTCCTAATAGCGGCGGTGCGTTTCCGGTTCCATTTTGTTGATCGTTTTTTGGTTGTTGTTATTTTTGTTTTGTTTTTCTTTTTTGATAAACATTTATTTTAAAGCTTTTAAAAATTGAAATGTCCTAAGATTTAGTATGGAAGGGGAGATAACTCTTATAATGCGGTCATCATAAGTACCCTGATTATAATTTAAATATATACTTAATATACCCTTTCATTGTACTTTCAAGTTTAACAGCGCTCAATATAATGAACTAATTTAACTACAGTGTGAGCACCTTCTATTTCCGGGCGCAGGTTTTTTTTTTTCTGCTATGAACAGTTTGGAACCCTCCCAGCTTGCATCTGATATTTATCTCTGCCAGTTCTCCGTTAACAAGAAATACCATGTCCTGAAACCCAGACCGGAAGAACCCTAAACCATGCAACAAGTCACTGTGCCGATGTGATGGCCGAAACATTCTGCCTTAACCGAAGTCAAAGCTGCAAAGTCTACAAACTCTCAGAATTTTGAAATCCCAAATTTTTATAGAAACAAATTCGTGACGAATTTTAAATTGCAAATCAACTTTTGAAGCCACTCGAGTGTCGGTCCACAAAACACTATGGATTCCCATATCGCCGCGGGTTTGCCCAGCAATGAAGGCGTTCTCCTTGAACTGAGAAGACGGAAAACTGACCCCAAAGTTACCCCTATCAATAAAGTAAGTGTACTAGTAATAGTAACATAAGTTAATTAAAAATTCCTGATAGCTAACAAAACATTTCCGCATTTCTTAACTCCCCAAATAGTAAGATAAGATAAGATAAGATAATATTCTTTTATTGATCCAAATAAATGGAAATGTTTTTTTATTGCATTATACTTTATTTATACATTATACATTACCTTATGAAATGCTAGACCTACTTGATTTCGTTGCAGTTGCAGACTTTTTTTTGAAATAGGTACGGTACAGAAAGGGATCCCCAAAATTTTGGGACGTCATTTTTCGACTTTGCTTGTACCTGTAAAGAAATGAAGGAAGGATTTTACTTTTTTTTTTTTAATCGTAGGATCTTACTAAATTTTTTCAAAATTTTATTACAATGAATTAAAATTAACCCTGCTTAATGGTGCGCAGGGTTTCTTTCAGCTATGTCTCCGGGGGGCACAACCACGGGGAAAGCCAAGTGCCCCCCGAGCAAAAATATTTGCAACAATAAATCAACTGGCACTGCTGGCACTGCCCNCCCCCCCCCCCCCCCCCATGAGGAAATTTCTGAAATAATCACTGATGGTGCGTCATCGTTTGCTTCACTGTTCCAGTTGGTTGACACTAAATTACCATATACCCGGTAACATAGATATAGAGAAAACCAAAGGATAATCATCCCAAAGTGCATGTTACTTGAGTGATGCAATTATTACGTAACAAATACTTTTTTTTCAGCCAGTGTTCCCCATAAGAAGTGAGAGTCGCCCCGACTACCCCTCCCATTTTGGTTGGAACCCCGTGTATTGGAGTGACTACCCCAAACAGCCCATGTGGACAGTGCCGCTACCCAAGATGCCTGGCCCTGTGCTCAGTAAATCGTAAGTCACGTAAAGAGTAGCGAGATCCAGCCATGCATTTTGAACTACGACATCTAGTACGGTACCTTACCCTCCATTACCAAGAGTCTCAATGATGATGTTAGGACTAAAAAAGGAATGCATATAAATATAATATGTATGCTCAAAATGTAAAAGTGGGATGAGCTTTCACATCATGTTACCATCGATATACAGTGTTTCAGACATTTTTCCTCGGGAAGGGGGGGGGGGTCAATTCAGATTTTCGGAAAAGGGGGGGGGGCGGTTCCAGTTGTCAGTGGCCAGAGGTGTAGGTAAGGGGGGGGGGATGGGGTTTATGTCCCGGGGCGCCAGACTAAGGGAAGGTCAGACTAACGGAAGGTGCTAAAACTAAATGGGCTTTGGTGGTATTTAATATTTGAAAAAAAAATGGGTTTCAGGGTTGAGGAGGGGGGGGGGGCATAAAAAATGAATCTTGTCCCCTAACACCAAACACTCTAGATACGCCGCGGCTAGTGGCGTCAAAATAGGGCGGATGTGGTGGTCCACACGGGTGTCACTTTTTCTTGATATTCAGGTGTGGCTTTTCGGACAACTGCAGAGTTTATATCGTGAAAGGGAGGACGGCAAAAATATTGGGCCAGCCATGCCGGCACTAGCAGTAGCTAATCTATTAGGCACTGTGTCTTTTGATACCAAACTCGGCGATCATTTTCATCGGGAAGTAAGGGGTGGGGGGGGGGATCAAGGGCGCCGATGAATCTTAACCGGTGGATGGGTCTGGGGAGGTGTATTTTTGACTCAAAAACAATAAAAATAGAGGGAAAGGCCGATTTTCCCCGGTTTGGACGACCTATTTTGAGCATACTTGAATTCAATGTTTCTAATAGAGTTTTTGAACGGGGAAGGACATTTTTAAGATTTTGTGAGAGGCATTATGACGCCCAAAGCCATAAATACACTGAATTCAGTCCGGTTGTGGCGTGCCCCCGGGTAATCATTTGGCACAAGCTTATAATCAACCCCATTCTGTAACATTGATCAGCGTGAGGGCAGGGGTGTAGAAATTAGAAATGTAGGGTGATAAAAACAAACTCAAAATGCAGGGGTGCATTTTGGCGCACGTTGGAATTTCATTCTTTCAGGCAATTTTGAGGTGGCATTTCAAACTTTCGGGTGGAAAGTGCCAAAACTAGCCCTAATAATGATCAAAGACATCTTAAATTCCGCAAAAAATTCCGTAAACTAGATTTATTACAGTTGTGTCACCCTTGAGGGTAAGCTTTTGCCCTAGATTTTTCTAGCCTTTTTGACTTTTATAGTCCACAGAAATTTGTTTGATAAATTAAAAATACAAGAATGTATTTTATCACAAACATGAATTTAGTTTTGCTGTATTATACAATTAATTGGAGAGCAAAGGAAGAGATCCTAGTTTTAAAATGTATGTTTCACTTAACCTTAGAACCATCGTGTGCGCCTAGCAAACGCTACGACTGCAAGGTGCCTCGGATATTTTAGGGGTTTAAAAATGTGATGTGGATATTTTCTTAACTATCATCTATCATTGCAGGGTTTGGGAGGGGGGGGGGGTTGTTTTTTGTTTTTTTTTTAAAATCAATTTAAAAGGTTTCCAATACTAAAAAGCAGTGCAAAGTCATTTTATGTGCTGAACGCAAATGGAAAGAAAAAACTAACTTATAATAATTAGACTACCTTTTATAAATATTTCCGAATGTTAGCAGAGACAAACAGAAAAAAAGCACTGCTAATTAAAAAGGTCTATACATTTTTATGAGTTTTCATAACTGGTCATTTTTATAAATCGTAGGCCTATATGAACGGTATAATTTTTTTAAGAGAAGTTTGCAAATGACGTCATATATTTATTAATGTGTTATTTTATCTGAAGGAAATCGTTTAACAATAAAGTTATAAAGTACCGTATAAAGTTGATTGTTCAAATTATTTGACATTTCAAACTATTATATTATAACTTTATCCAGATAATTACAAATTGCCTCTTCAATATAATTTAACACATTTTTTAAACCAAAGCGATAGAAATTATTCAATTGACAATTTGCGGAAGAATTATTTCTAAAATTAGTACTTGTACCCAAAAAATGGATTAACCAAAATGGTCGAAATTCGATTTCACATAAACGTTTATTTAGCTGTTTACTGAATTCTCATCTAACAAAAATAATTATTTTTTTTAAGTGCGTAGAAATACGGGGAAAATTGTTTATGATTGTGATATTAAAAAGAGAAAATCAGTTGGGAATCTAATAAATATAGGCAAAGTACTTTTTCAAAATGCCCACTGTTCAGGAAACTTTGTTACAAAAGTAGCACTTGAGAAAACAAACGCTCTGGCTGTAATAATTGACGAATCTTGCACTATTTAAAAAAAAAAGAAAAAAGAAAAGCAGTTGAGAATCTTATAAGGCTAAGATTTTTTTTTTTTTTTTTAAATACCCCCAGTTAAGGAAACGTTGTTACAAAAGTAGGCACATTTAAAGAAAACACAACCGCTTTCCCTTTAAAAATTGTTGAATGACGTGACGTACCATTTGTATACGGTACGCCCGTTAAATTTAAATTCTTAATTTGTGCAGTTTTCTAAGTTTTCATTTTTTTCCCCTTGGTTAACGTACATAGAGTCGAGTACATTTTTAAAATGATGCTAATATTATAACTATATTTTTATAATTTATATATATATTTTTTTATAGTATGAGGCCATCATAATTTATTAACACCATTCTCTACTTTAATGCCATGCTTTTACTTTTATTATAAAATATTTGACAACATGAAAAGATTGCTCTAATTTGATACTCAGTGAGAACTGAATTAAAATTGTAGAACTTAAAATTGAAATAAATGTAGTTTAATACAGTGTTATTCAAGTTTTTAAAGTTGTGAGTTTGCAATGAATAATTAAACAAAAAATACAGTTACATGCAAACAACGGGAAGCAATAATTCGGCTGTAATCGGGCGCGGCAAATTTTCCAAACATTGCGATATTTATACTCGAATGATGGAAGTGTAAGCTTCTAAGAAGATTAGCCTTAAATATGCGGATCATCAAATATATCGAGCGTAGCGATGTTTCATTTCTTCTACTATTTGTAATCGGTTAATGACACCAGATTATATTTTTTTTAAGCTTAAAATGTAGTAGTTTTTTTTTTGCAACACCCCCCCCCCCCACCCCACGATCTAGCTGAAAGAAACCGTCAAATTTATAAACCGGTTAATTCACAATTTTCCCTTCCCAGACTGCCCCCGTTCCCCAACCTGCCTTGCCACAACCCACCCACTGAATGGATGAGTCTCAGGACGTGCCCTGTCTGGATCCCAGACCTGCCAAGACGAGTCCCAGGATGGAACCCTTACGTGAGTGAAACCAACACTTGTTTCCATGACCTCCTGGGGCCGCCCAAATTTTAGGCAACTTCACCTCGATTACTTTGAATAGACGCTATTTAATTAGCATAATAGTATTAATGCCTTACATAAAATAATGAACTGTGAATGAAAGGAATAAACGAAACAATGAATCGTTTTTGTGTTTGTAAAAAGAAGTTGGCCCCCACCACTGGTCAGAGAGGTTAAAAAAAACGTTTAATTTTATTTTTAACATATTTATTTTCAATGTTTTACTCCAATAATTTGTTTAGTTAGAAAGGTATGTCTGAAGTAACATCTTTTGGTCCTAATCCTGTGATGTTTACTTCATAAAAATATTTACTTAAAAGTAATCCAGGGTGTCAGGGTATTACTACACTTAAGTGTAAACGTTGCTATGGAACTGATCTTGGTCAGCTCTTTCAAGGAACTACCTACCTCTTGATGGTTCTGTCTAACGATTAGCTAAAACACTGTTCCGTTATGTTCGTTTCAGTTCCCTAACAGGACCAAAGAGGTTTTTTATTTCTAGCTGCTCTCGGAACTCTTTTCTTGTCTTTTTATTACTTTTTAAACACTTTAGTGACTGTAGATTGTAAAACCATGTTTCTTCCTAACCCTCCCTTCATTCAATCTTAAGTTATTATCATCATTATTAAATAACAATGTTAGTGAAACATACTGCTTCAATTTTATCTGAAAATAAACTGAAGGTAAAGCTGAGCCCGGTCTCCTGTTATTTTCTGGTGTGTTCATGTAACTGTACATGTAAATCAAATAATTAATAAATATTTAAGGGTTCTTCATTTTAAAATGCTTGGCAATCACTCCTTTTAAACTCCTGTAGCCTATTTAATGTTCATGTCCTTCAAACTCAAGCCAGCAATTCTTATTATTGAGATAGGACAACAATTTACAGATAGCTGATAAGTTATCACTCCTTTAAATTTGATGTACTCTACAGTCAAAAATTGATTCAAATTCAAATTGGGGAAAGTCTTCAACATTAAGTAGTTAAGGATTTATACAAATGTTGAATATGGTTCAAGTTGTATTTATCCCCCCCCCCTGTTTTGTGCAGATGCAGGTATCCAGTACTTTAAATGTATAAAATCAACATTTGAACAACACAAATAGAGATATAATCCACAAAGGAATTTAACACACACAAAAGTCAAGTTATTGTATTTACAGTATAACAATATTATTTGAATTGAATATAACAAACAGAAGCACTGCTAGTAGAGTGAGCACAGACTACTAGAGGTGACACTCTCTGTAGCTAGTGCTATACATCACATATACACACAATAAATTAACCCTTACAAGCAAACCCCAACTTCCTTACATTTCCTATTACAGTACTGGTACCCTGGCAGCACAGATAGAGTAGGCAAATAAATTAAATAATAGTTTTCAGCTGTTATTTTAAGGTGGAAAAAAAGGTTTCTACACACTAAATTGTACCAAATAAGTCCTCCTAATGCAGCAAACAGTAACATGATTTGGCTCTCCTTTCAGCTTAGGATAAAAGAAGTTGATATTGCTCTTATCTGAAGTGAGCATAAAAATTGACATGAGTCTGTGTGCCAGAGTACAAGACAATCACAATAACATTCATTCATTCATATTATTAGGTCAAGCTCCATTCAGTTCAGTCTTTACCTCAATACTTCTACACCACAAGATCTCTATTCAATATAATATTCTATTTTTTGTTTCACACTTACTCCAATTTCCACTCACACTATTCAATAAACCATGTTCTAAAATTATGTTATAGTAGTAGTTTATACAAATGTTGGGGGAGAAGTATTTTGGTATTCAAGACTTTGACTGGAGATTTGATTTAACTCTTAAGGCCTGGTGACAAAATGATAGATAGGAAATGGTACAAATGACATTTGCCCCAATGGTCCTGATCCCATGAATGGAAATCTTCCAATGGATTGTTCATCCTGATCTGAAGAAATGCTATCAATATTGAAAAACCCAAAATAGAACCATATCTTTCTAAGTTTCCATTTCTTTTAAAACCAGTATTTATCACCTATTATTTGACAAATGTACACATTTTGTTAATCAAACAATAAATCTCAGATTGTGCATTTCAAAAATGACATGTCTAATCCCACAACCTGAATCCATTTCATTGGACAACAGCAGGAGTCAGCAACCTTTTTTTTTTTTTTTTTTTGTATGAGAGAAGCCATTTTTTATAAATACTGAGGATACATCTTTCATATTTTTAAATTGAGAGCAGCATCTGTTCCAACACAGAGCTGCAGGTTGCTGATCCCTGGACTATGGCAATGAAATAGATGATAAAACTAGCAGAATAACTGATTCCATCAGGAACACTGTTTTGGATGGTTTGATCATCTGAGCTATAACATTTGTTTTATCTATTTGCAAGCAATAACCAGTACAGACACCACAATTCCCATGTCAGCATAGACACCATAATACCAACGTCAACAAAACCTGTTATTACTAATAAATGTAGTCTGACATAATAGACAGAACTTAATTTTACACCAAGTTTATCTAAAGATTTTGGTCTACAACACAACAGCCGGCTTATCAATACCGGTAAAAGGGGGAAACAGTTGATGTAAATAAAGGATGTTTGGTGCATTTTTCCCTACCAAGTTTTATATGATCTTTCCATGTTTTTAGCTCGCCACAGGGATAGCAAACACTATTGTTAGGTTTTATGTAGGCATGGTGTGTCATGAGTACAAGGAGGCTTTTTAAAAAAATGCTGATCTACAGAAATAACAAAAATAGATAAATAACAATAAACATGAAACACTTCTTATGCTTATTTTCTCCTTTTTTTTAAAAAAAATAGTAGTACCGGTAAATTAACAAAGAATGAATAGTATGGTATCTGGTGATACCTAAAATATGAAGTAGTTTTTTTAAATATATCCGATTATTCAATTTCAGACATAGGATTACTGTAATGAAGAAAAGATATGGCATAAAAAAAAAATTTCTCTTCTTTTCAAGTTGATTGTGTGATAATAATGATGCTGAAAGTCAAATTATCAACTTGTGACTTAAATTGCCTGCAATGACAAGTTTTATCTTTAATTTCAAGAAAATAGTGAAACAAGTTATTAATTCTTATGTAAGCAGTCTAGTACTAACATTGACTATGTCTATTGAATGGTTTGCCTGAAATTTTATTTGTTTTAAACTTTAACAATTTTCTTGTTTGTTGTTGTTGCTATTAACTATCATTAGTATTATTTAAAGACACAGGAAAGATAAATTAAAATGGAAGTTGAGAATGACTCCAAAGAGCTTGGTTATTAACCTGCCATTCACAACATTGGAAGACTTGAAGGTCTCACTAGTGCATGCATCCTGGCACACAAGGACCAAGGTTCACAACCCACTTAGGTCCTTTAATGATTAATGCAGCAATAAAGGATGTTGAAATGTACACACACACGCTAAACAGTTTTCAATTAAAAAAATTCAAGCCTTGCCTTAAAATTGGCTTCACTGTGTGGCTGGTTTACCTTTGGCATAGACCAAATAATATATTACAGTGATACAGTGCATTTTTCTGGCCATGGTATCAGATGTGAGTTTTCATAACAAAAATAAGAATATAGCAAACCATTAAAACAGCTGATGGTGCCTGTGGTTGCACTAACCAAACTAGCCACTAAGGCTAGGTCCCTGAGTGTACAAAGGTGATTGATGTCATAAAAAAATAGCACAACTTTTAATAGTAATGTACAAGTTCAGTAGATGACATTGAGATACATCTCCAAGACTGTGTACATTCACAACTTTACATTCTCATGATTTTTTATATATAAATATATATATAGATGGGTGTATGTATTTATATATTTATACCTATTTATAATTTATACAGACTTATTTTGCACATTATAAATGCCACACTTTCACATATCATAAGAACACAATATAAAATACCCAGGTGAACAAAACACTAGTCACTTTGGTCCTGATAAAAACTCTAAAATAGTTGTTAAGAAATGCCACTGATTTTGTTCACAACCGATTTGTTGGCTACTTGAACTTATTTGTGTTACATCAAGTCCACATAAAATATTTGAAATGAAAAGGTAAAATAAAAATCACATTAAAAATAGTACTTGGGACTAGTAAGTTACTTTAATTTCATTTATAACTGTATAAAATGCATTTTTCAGAGAATCAACTAAATCACGGTGCCCCCTTCCAACCCGGAAACCCAAGTTCATCAAAAAAAAAAAAAAAAAAAAAAAAATTGTGAATAAAATTCATTGATGAACTAATAAATAATAGATGCATTTTGTAACTCATCTGAATCTGTACTACTAACATTAGCAATGGAAAAAAAAAATAAACATATCCAATGATAAATAAATTATAACCTAGAAAAATAAAATTAAAAAAAACTGCAAAATTTTAAAGGTCATACTTGGTAAGCAAGTAAGTTGTTTTAATGTTTTTTTTGTTGTTGTTTTTTTTACTTAAAAATAGCCACAACCTTTTCAAAATGCAGACTAAATTACTAATTTTTTTTTAATAATTTTTTTAAAAACTCCTGAATCAGGCTAGAGTTGTTCATTTTTTTCTTCTTTTTTGCCATCAGTTAAGTCCCACACAATGTTACAATCTTCTGATATGAAATTGAAATCTGGCACATTTACAATTTTTTAAATGAAAGAAAATTTTATTTCGACCTCATGTTTAACATTTAATCCTGTTAATTTGCATTCATTGGCACTTTATTTTGGCATAGTTTGTCTTCTATTATTTTTTGTTTAATTAAAAGGGGTACATATTTTTTTTACTCCACAGACACTCAAAGAGTAAAAAGAAAATAATTTAAATATGTACAAGAAACCAGATAAGCAAAAAATAACATAAGTATTATCTCAATTTTTTCCCCCTTAAATGTAGTCTTTGCTACAGTTTCATTCTGCAGGTGTTGGATTTCTTCCTGAAGGGATTATCTCGTTTTTTATCTGTTGTTTTTTCCTATCACTTCATGGGATGCTTTTGTGTCATAAGTCTAACCTTTCAACTTTGACAACAATTTTGCCCTGCCACATAGGAACAATAGTATTGTCATCAGATATTTCTTCAAACACAGCACCTGCACCATCAGCAAACTCATCACTTTGGCGTTTGAAATAATATCTGAAAGCAAAGAATTTTAATAAATTAGTTGAGCACTTCAAATATTTTTACATTTTAAACAGCCTTATAAAATAGTTTAGTCATTCATTACTTTCTGCATAATTTTTTTTTTTTTTTTGTAGTTAAAAATGCAATCAAAATGTAGAAACTTACTTAAAAAAGCCTCGCTTTGTAACCAATGTTTTGATTTGAGCTAATGTAATAGCACGCCCAGGCAACTGATGCCTGTAAGGTATCGGTTCCTGGCCCATGTAGATTCCAATTATAGTTTAAATAGGAGGAACGTAATTAGTTGAGCACTTCAAATATTTTTACATTTTAAACAGCCTTATAAAATAGTTTAGTCATTCATTACTTTCTGCATAATTTTTTTTTTTTTTTTGTATTTAAAAATGCAATCAAAATGTAGAAACTTACTTAAAAAAGCCTCGTTTTGTAACCAATGTTTTGATTTGAGCTAATGTAATAGCACGCCCAGGCAACTGATGCCTGTAAGGTATCGGTTCCTGGCCCATGTAGATACCAATTATAGTTTCACTAGGAGGAACGGCTGAAGATGAGGACGTACCTAATCTAGAGCTGATATTAAGAAAAAACAAGAATCATTAGTTACTAGGTGAATTTATTTTAGATAGTTAAAACATATATAACGTTAAAACATATATAACAAGAAGGAAAAAAAATATTTGTTGTTAATAATCTAAAAATATTTACATGTGATAAAATTTATGTAACTCTTCTGATAAAGCGAAGATAAGGATCTAATGATTTGAAATAGGGAATGGCATGATTTAAGTAACTCAAATTAACTGCGCTTACTCAAGGGTTTGACTAGTTACTGATGTGTCCAGCTGTGAGTTTACTGATCTCACATTAGGTAAGGTCCTAGAGTGAGTGCCTGTAGGAACCGGTGTACCACTAGGTTGAGGACGAACACCTGTAAAGCTTCTGGGGAAGGAAAAAAAAAAAAAAAAAAAGGAAAAAATTCAACATATTAACTGCGCTTACTCAAGGGTTTGATTAGTTACTGATGTGTCCAGCTGTGAGTTTACTGATCCCACATTAGGTAAGGGCCTAGAGGGAGGGCCTGTAGGAACCGGTGTACCACTAGGTTGAGGACGAACACCTGTAAAGCTTCTGGGGAAGGAAAAAAAAAAAAAAAAAAGGATAAAATTCAACATATTTATAATAAAGAATGAAGAAACAATTACACAATTTCTTTTTTAAATTTATTAGTACAGGTTTCAAGGAAATTATACCTACTAACAACTTAAAACTAGTAAATAATACACAATTTGTATCAACTTGTCTTCATTCACAAAATATTTCCTCAGAACAAAAGGAAAAAAAACAATCATAATTTTCAAACTATAATTCTTCACCTTATAAACACTTCAGAATACTTGACATAACTTACTTGGATTTGACAGGAGAAGCTGATGCTGCCACTGCACGTGACTGAGTTTCAAGTCTTCTTTTAGCCTCTTCTAGCTGTGTAGTTGGATTAGGCGGTGTGAGAAGTGGCATCGATGAGTCCTGGGCAAAGGGCTGACTTGGCATGAGAGTTGCTCCATTCCATGAGGACAGCAGACCAACTGTCCTCTCTCCTCCTCTATCTACCGATGCTGACCGTGTGCATGCTTTGGATTTGGAGCTGAAATAAAATTGGGTGGGGGAAAAGGGTAATATGCATTATTTAATGTAAGAAAATCCATAATATGTAACAGATTATTCTTTACAGGCTTTGTGTAAAAATGCATTTTTTAGCACATAACTTGTGGGCATAGATGAAAGATGTGTAAGTCTAAGTGGTTTTAATTCTTTGTTAGAAGGAATGTTCCTACAAATAAAGCTCAAACAAATGATAATGCTAAAACGTCAATTCTTATGTTCAAATTAAAGGCATTAGAAAACTACATTTTAATATTGTTGAAAAATTACTGTAGCATCTTTTGTAGTTTAAATTAACTAATTATAAAAGTGTTGGACTACGATATTTGTTTAGCTTTAATAATAATTTTATATAATAAACAAGTAAACGTTTTGGCAAATGCCTTCATCAGGATAACAACAAAACATTTAAATAAGTATAAATTAAATTTACATAATATATTGTTATGTAGACGTATTTACGTCATCTTTCCCAGTGAATGAACTCTAGCTGACCCCAAGCTCGGAATCGCATTTTAGGATGTGGCTAAATAAAAATAGTCTCTTTGACCTTGTTTACAACTAAATAAAATCTATGGTCTGAATCATTTGAATTCTGTAGAATAATCTAGACCAGGGGTCACCAAAAATTTCTCACGGCGGTCCGGATAACGGAAAAAATGACGAGCGCGGGCCGGATAATCTTTCTGGTAAATACTCGAAAGCTCTGGGAAAAAAGACGAAAAACTAAGTGAGTGGCGTGCAATGTAAAAAAAGCCAAGACAACCACCATATTTATTTACTAAAAAAGTTAGCAAGGAAGGCTATGTTAGCAAAATAGTTACATCAGACCTAGTGCGCATATATTTGAATCTCAAAAACTAAGCAAATAAAAAAAAAGGTTAGTAAGATTTGTGAAACTGATGTTTGGCTTTCAAGATATCATCGTTTGGTTTGGAACTGTTGCAGCCATTCAAAAGAATTGCTTTCAAATGTTCACCAATCCCTCTCATTTCAATGTGTTGACTTCAAATACTTTATTTTTGAAAATGTTTGCTCACAGACGTAAGTTGTTCCATGCATGCTGCAAATGGGTGCCAACTCTTCCGTTATCTTAAAGTCCAAATTGACACCACAAATAAACACGAGAAGTTGTGAGAGCGCAGTACTCATCCAGTGTCAGAAGATACCACAGCAAGTTCTAGCTTTCTAACGTATCTGTAGCACTAGTTTTTCTGTTCTCCGCACAACTGAACTTGCCAAAAGGCTGATGGTTCAAACCGCTGAGATTACGATTATAATGTCCTCGTATGTTTCCTCAACACTCCTCCACCTTTCTACCATTTACAGTTTGTGGTAGTTATCAGACTATAAAAAATATATTAGGGGGAATCAGCTTAATGGAAATTGATTATTATTTTATTTTTAAACCAGCCTTTTCTAAAAACAACAACCTCTGGTTACTTGGTAGGTTTTTTAAATGATGTCATCATTTGTTAATTAATTCTTATTTAAGTACATCTTGTTTTATGCTGAGTTCGAGATTGAACCACATTAAATTTCACCAGGAACATTATTTTTAACCACTTATAGACAGATAATGTGATCAGTACATCCACTCAATATAAATTAATTTAATAGCAAATACACGTCATCAAAACAAAGTGACCTCAGATTTTATTGTAAACGTTGGTCATCAACGTTTAGTAGTTAACTTTTTTACGCCAGCTAAACTCGATCCCACTAGGTACAGCGATGCGAGTAGTTATTGTATTTATTTTACAAACTGTATTTTTATTTATTTACTATTAAGATACCGTATTGTACGATTTTAAGATGCTAATGTACGAGTTCGAGGGTAAACAGGTCTGTAATAAACAAGAAAACCTAGATGCAATAATTTAAAATAGTAAATTAAGGCGCATAGCAGCCAAGAGGTCTCCGCACGTGTGAAGATCTCCTAGTATTCTAAATTTAATATTGAAATTTAAATTGTATCACAACGTCTCCGGTTCCATACGTTTTATCAAGCAAGTTCAGATACTGTCTGCGGGACGGATGAACTTGCCTTGCGAGCCGGCCCACGGGCCGTAGTTTGGTGACCCTGATCTAGAAAAATCAGGAAAGGAAAACAATGTGTAAGCCCGTTCAAGAAATGTCTTTCAAACGGGCAGGCTATATATATTGAGAGACAGGAAGGAAAAGACGGAGGGAGATATTCTGCTATCACGATTATGATGTAGTTTTGCTATACGAGACAGAGATTTGTTTACTAACATTTGATGTGTGTGTGTGGATTCTAGGGGTGTGCCGGACCCCGGTCCGGAATCCGGTTCCGCCGGATTTTGCACTATCCGGTGAAATCCGGTTCCGCCGGATTTACATGTATCCGGAACAACCGGATTCCGGAATCCGGAATATACCGGATTTCGGAATTTGCCAGATTTTGTGACTCACCGGATCATAATCTGAAATAAAAGTAATTCTCTTTCCCGAATTTCACACGATCACTATACATTAATCGATTGTTTCGAGCGTTGAGCTTGTTTAATGTTTAATATTCCGTACATACCAGAGGCTAGAGTCAGCACCGCTAATAGTGGCCAATAGTGTAGGGACTTTGATAAGAAAATTTAAACTTTTTGTAAAAATAAACCAATGGCATAGTTGAAAAGATGTAATTTTTTAAAGAATTATAACACCAAAATCATATTTTTAGCTGTTGTAGTTTTAAAGTTATGAATTTTTAAAGTACGACTTGGTTTGTCATTTTTTAACATGGACTGCATCTCCACATTCTGTGATCTCATTCCACCAATCCCGTCATGCGCAATGACTATATAGTTTATATAAGGCAACGCATTCCCTGCCTTATCACTAAAATACTGTTTAGACTTAGTTTAAACTTTCAACTTTGGCACATGAATAATTAATTAAAGCTTTCCCTGACCAATGGTTTAATAGTTTTTGCACACGGCAAACTCTTATGAATGAAACTCTGAGGTAGTACTACGATACAGTTATGCAAGTGGCTGTGAATGGTTGCCAATGACAACGTGTTGCACACGGTAAATTCTGATCATTTATAATATGGATTCTACCGGGTTGTTAAAGCTCAAATTAAAACATTCCAGTTTAAATGTCTTTAAATGCATTCTGAAACACAAGTTATCAATTATTTTGATGTAAATAGTGATAATAAATTAATATTTCCTAAGTATCGTCAACTTCCGCCATTAAAAAGGGTGGCGTGGCCAACCCCATAGCGAAATTAGGTTGAGCGAGCTGCATAACCGGCTGCGAACGCGTAGAAACATGGCGTCTCTCGTAAGACACTTATCCAAATGGAACGGAACTCAAATATATATCGAAAGTACTAATTTAATAATAAATAGACACACACATCGGAAAATTAAAAACTCGGATTTTTTGGCGCCGATTGCGAATTCCCATACACAAAAAGTAGTAGTCCACCTTGACTTACCGAAGCATCTACCAATAGTACCAAAATCCGGAATCCGGGACAAACCGGAATCCGGATCCGGCGGATTTCGCATAAGAAAATCCGGATCCGGATCCGGTTGGAAAAAACGGATCCGGCACACCCCTAGTGGATTCCTTTTTCATCATTGCACCTTCTTCAATATTGTACAAGTACAAGACAATCATTATACTTTGAGTTGTAAGCCAATAGCTTTATTTTTATTTTATATTTTGTAATTCATTATTAACTTAATAAAATTATTAAATTGTAATTAGCCCTAATTTGGGTATAGTTTCTTTGTTATTGTATTTAGTATATGGTATCATATTTTGTTGCGTAGTTTGTCAACAAGACATTTTATTAAAGAGATTAAATTCTCTAATGTTACAATGGTACGTACAATATATCTACATGTATCCTACCAAAAGAGAAAAAAAGAAAAGAATTGGAGTGGGCGCAAAACCCAAACAAAAATAAAGAAAGATGAATGGACTGGAAGTGATTTGAAGTAAAATGTAAAAGACCAAAGAGGAACACAAATAATATTTGAACAAAATAGATGTGTTAGTACTCAGCAAAATTGCAGATCGAATACTAATCAGACATTTCTGAAAATGTTAAAGGATCAATAGTCAATGTGTTTACAGACTAAATGAAGTTAAATTAAAGTTAATAATTATTTTTCCTTAAAAGTAAAAAATTTCTAAACACTGCATGGCAATGTAAATTAAATAAATGTATTCTTTCAAAGCCCTGTAATTAATTTAGTGTAATACATTGAATGTGTTTTTAAAGTGATACATTTTTTGTGCATCATAAAAAAATTAGAATAAAGTGTTTATTTTATCAAATAAGATGATGCATTGGTATCTCTTCTTTTTATAAATGAAGTATTTGCATATTGGTTTGCGGATTAAATCATGATTCATTATTATTAGCACTTTTCTGTACAAAGAAAGCAGTATCCTAAAGTTTCACGTCTTGTTTGCAAGCATGGAAGCAATTATCAAGTCTAATGGGAATGTTATTTTAAACTAAGATAGAGTAAATTATTTTCTTCTAACGTAGGGTTAGTTGGTATCTGAAAACAATTTAAGTTATAAGAGACATATTTTTACAAATACAAAAGAGCAGACAATTTAAAATAAAAATAAGAAATTAATCAGGGACATCAAGTAAAAGAAAATGTGAATTAATGAGAAATTGTGCTCTAGCTAGCGGTATTTCTGTCACAAATAACTACATTAAACTTTTCACTATAATACTATTTGGTATAAAAAATATATACCTCTGCCTTGCTGGCTGAGCAGTTGCGACAGTCTGGTTAATTCTATGTGTTCGCCGATGTGAAGATGTGCTTCTATCCACTGCATCTTGTAATACAGTAGATACATCATGAACTGTCTCACTGTCCATCATCCATTTCATAACCCTATAAACAAGAGAAATATATTATGACCTTTCACAAAATATAATACATTTCAAGACTACATAGGACTAGCGCCAAGATATTCTAGTTCAGGGGTAGACTGAATCGGGTGGATTGAACTCGTTAGCCTTGGACGGTAACTCATCTAAGAGAAGGGTAACCTTTTCAAACTAGGAGCCAGATTTGATCTTGGGTCGTCCAAAAATGGGACAAAAAAAGGAAAAATGTAAATCAGTCCTACTCTAAGGAGCTAAATTTATAGAGCAACAGCCAGCATTATGTTAAAAGTACAGACCTTCAAAAACACTTGCCTTAGGAAGATCCTGAACATAAAATGACCATACAACATCAACATATCAAGAGCCTATTGCTGAAGACATCACAATGAAATGATTGGGGTGGATAGGACACACTCTTTGTAAACACCCAAGAAATAGGAATTGTGATGGGATATCATAAAACCAAAGAGGTAGAAGAAAGAGAGGAAATGTATACAAAAGATGGAGACATAAGCTAGAGCCATATGCACAAAGGATGGGATGCACCAGGAACAACATGGAAGGACCGAGGTGAATGGAAAACACTTGTAGACTGCCTTTTCCTCTAAGCAGGGTACATGGTGTGAAAAAGTAAGGCACTATACAGGCCTATTATTTATCACAATTTTTCAAAAATACATACAATTTGTCATATCAAATAATCTCTTTTGTGTAATAAGATTAATTATGAAATCACACAAATCTCTGAGCAGCATAATGTGGAGGGCAAACCTACAGTTTTAGAAAATGGAACCTACAATTTACACTTTAATAGCTCCTTGGCAATTAAAGCTGAAACAGGTTGTTTGAGTTTTTTTTAATTAGAAGGCAACTAAATAAATACCATTGACATTTCGTACCTAATTTGTTAATATTTACATAATTAAGGATATGAAAAAAGAAATCTAATTAAAAGTATTTGATAAGATGAAAAAGTCATTTAAGTTATTCATACTGGGAAAATTTGAGCATATTGGTTTTTTTTGCTATTACTTTGCAAATATATATATGTTTCTGGAGATGTATTCAACAATTGAAGCACTTCAAACAGCTAAGTCATTCCATCACCTTTTGGAACGGTAACAATAAATACTAAAGGCAATTGTTGATCAAAACTTTTTAACATTTAGGCCTACATATTTGTAAGCCAAGTTGATTGACATTTGTGCTCAAGCTGGTTAAGGGGAAAAGAGGGGTTTCCTGAGAAACTAGCTGTTTCCTGTATTTTGTTTAGTTTTGTCTACCCATGATTAAGGGGTTCATGATATGCATGTCAAAATTTAAAACTATGCTTTATATTTTTAAAGCAGGACCTATTTTTATGATTTAAACTTGTTTTAATGTAAACCTTCCGTTTTTTTTAAACTCAGAATAGCTCAAAGAAAGTACTAATTAAAAAAATAGCAAATAAAACCTAAATTAAATGTAATTTGTCATAGGTTAATTAGAAATCTTACTTTTCACTGGTTGGGTTAATCCAATTTGCTGGAATCTTTACAGAATCCATTCCACTTACTCCACTGTCTATGTTACTACTTGTATCTGAAGTTTTCCTTAGAGCACTACAAGCACTTTTTCTTAGGTTAGTCCTTCCTCTACCAGCACAGTCACCAGCTGCATAATCTGCAGACAGATTTGCTGGATTGTCACCTCTCCACGGACTCAATCCACAAGTTTGAGCCTCCACTTCTACTTGAGTCTTTTTACTAGATGACTCCCGAGATGAGTGGTGGTGATGGTGGTGGTGATGAATATGGCGATGTGTCTCAGTACCACACAAAATGAGGTTACTATTCTCAATACCACTATCATAAGATACAGTAGAAAAGTCTCGTCTTTTGTGGTATCCCCTTGCCATGTAGGGGTTGGGCACTGCAGCTGGCCCAGGAATTGCCTTTTTTCTGGCATCCTTGTGACGATCTGGTGATTTGCTATGTGGTGGAGATTGATGACCTGGGGGTGAATACGAAGGGGTGTGATGTGAAGATGATGCCCATATCCTAGAGCAGTGTTGATCAAGTATACTTTCAGCTGTTTCCTCTTCCATTACTGATGGGCGCATAAGAGGTATTAATGTAGCAGGTGTGTTGCCTTTACTAAAAGATGTCACAAGTTTTTCTTCCAGCTCAATCTGAAAAAAAAATTTTAATAAAAAGAATTAAAAAATTAGTACTTTGATAGTAGGTAATATTTTAAATCAGTAAAGACTATATTTCTAACAATTGTTTTAACAATCAGTACAGGCAAGGCATAGAGTGCAACCTGAAAATAGAAAAGGACTTTATACCTTAAAACCCTGGCAGAGACAGAGATCAAATATTTTTTTTGGTGGTTTGCACATCCTAACTCTCAATTTGAGAAGCAGCCATAATAAATTTTTGGGTTATGGTATATATTGTCGTGAAAATTGTCTTTAATTTTAAGAATTATTTTCTGATTTTCTCCACTCCATTCCTAAAGATTTAAGTGCATAACATCAAACCTATAACATTTGCAAACCTAATATGGGCTGTTTTTTAAATTGTAGTGAATTGTCAAACTTCAAAAAGTAACGTGCATTTGTCTGCATTCTGAAAGCATTTTCTCCACAATCAATGGTTTTGGCATATAAAAGGAAAACATTTAGCTACTCATTAACTTGTGCACACAAAAATTATTGGCTTGTATCATTTTGATCAGACTCGCCCGCCGGAAGGTTAATATGTAATGTTTGTTTTTACGTTTTTAAATATACTTAAATTTCCAAACATAAATAACATGAAAAAGTTAATGAAGTACAAACTTACATTATTTATTATTCTTAAAATTATTCTTAAATAAGTAACAATTTGTGAAGTGAATTTTTACCGCTGAAGTTAACTTATGTCAAGAGTTTCCATATTTGTGATATGATACAAATTGGCTGAAGCACAATATCTCCATTCACTCTATCCTAACATCTTCCACCTTACTCCATTACCCTCTTACCCCTAAGCCTTCTTTACTAATACCACTCACCCTCCCCTACATTGAACCCTTTAGACATAACCCCTAATCCTTAATTTTTTTAGCACTACCCAAATCTCTAACCCCCCCCCCCCCACCCACACTGATACCAATTGGCTGAAGCACAATATCTCCATTCACTCTATCCTAACATCTTCCCCCTTACTCCCTTACCCTCTTACCCCTAAGCCTTCTTTACTAATACCCCTCACCCCCCCCTACATTGAACCCTTTAGACATAACCCCTAATCCTTAATTTTTTTAGCACTACCCAAATCTCTAACCCCCCCCCCCCACACACACACTAACTTACATGCTTCAAGTTCTAACTTCTCCCATATTCCAAAAGTGTATACTCACCTCCTGGTCCATATCTCCATCACCCATTTATCTCAGATGTGACCCTTCACTCTACTTTGCCTTTAACTTTACTCTCCTCTATCCAACTTTCTACAGTGAGTCAAAATCCCAAACTTTCACTCTAAATACCCACCCTTGTTCACACAGGACCTAAGTTTACATATACGTGGAGCCCAGCACTCAACAAATAATTATCGAAACTAAAACCACTAAAAAAAAATTTACCCGCTCCAAATCCTAGAATACAACATAGCATTAAACATTAGGATCCTAGTTAGCAACCTACTTCTTGTGAAATTTTTGTGTGTTATGTAATTATAACAGAATTTAAAACAAATCTGCAGCATTAGAAAATAAACAGTGTGCTGTAATAAAAGATAAAATAAAACATCATCTTTGTACAGTGTAAGAATATAATATATAATCATAGATAAGAATAAAATGAAACATTCATCACTTTACAGAAGACTGTGAAGCATATTGATTCTTGAAGCCTTTTCTTACCTCAGTTGTGTTTAAACTTTTCAATTTCTCATCAACTTTAGCTGTTGCTTCTCTGTCATCCAACACTTTGGTTAATTTTTCTATAAGCAGACAGGCAAATCTTTTTGGGTCAATCTCCGCTATGTTCCTATCTTTGGGAGCATGCTCTGTACGCTGGGTCAGGAATAAAGAAATAAAAAATGATTTCGTGATGATAATTTACGTGCATTTAAAGTCGTCTTCAGTGTTTATAAGTTAAATGAATTAATCTATTTAAAAAATGCAGTAAAGGGTTGTTTTTGCATGTAGTAAACAATTAGCTTTTTAACAATGTTATCTGAAACTGATGCTTCCAATGACTTTCTAACATTTATTGAAGACTATTAATAAGAAGTAAATGTCAGACATACAGGAATTATTTGAGAGTGTAGTCCTGTTCGAAGTTCTCTATTATGTTGGGCAAGACTTTTTACAACAGCTTTTCTATGGTGGCTCTTTTTTCTAAGATGAGGATAGCCATCACTGCAATCAAAATAAATATTTAAAGCATTATTTTTACTTTAAATGTATGCATCATTTGGAAAGGGAAATTCATTTTAAACATATATTATTTGTATAATTCTTAGTTGACAGATTAAGCAATATAAGAGAGGAATTTTAAAGAAATAAATTATTTCTCTATTAAGCATTTTATTTTATTTTTTTAATGTCTCTTGTTTAAATGTGTTCCTTATTTGGATAGCAAAACATAATAAATTTGAAAATTACTTCATTTTTAAAATTCGCTTAAAAGCAAAAATATAGTTATTTGCATTTTAAATTGATAAATAATTAAAGACATGTGACCTACAAAAATTTCTTTTTAAGTAAAAAAAAAAAAAAGTAAGTGCTTGAAATTCAAAACATTTTTAACTATGGATCATAATGTAAAATAATAGAGTCCACATTTTCTGCCCTGTTCACTTTATGTGATATTTCATTATTATGTAATCTGTAACCAAATCTATACAAGACAAATTGGAAGTTTTAAATCATCAAAATTTTTAAGTTTTAACACCCACCCCCACCCCCCATGAATTCCTTTTGACAATCAATTAAAAACTCCTGCTGGCTCTCCCCAACCCATTAAACTTCCTTTCTAATTTCAGCTACTGAAGTGTTTGTTTTGTATTTTCCCTCTGGCTCTATGCATTTAGAAGGTTAAGTGAATTTCCTCCCTTTGCAACATTTTCAAATTTGAAAGGATCAAAGAAACATCAAAGACAAGCATGAACATCAATCAAATCCATGATCAAACAAACTCTCACCATCAACAAAGGGCATATGGAACAGATATTTACATTGAAAGATAGACTGTATTAGTCTTGTGTTTTAGTTTAGTTAGAGTGGTGGAGTCTAATCCAGGAAATCAATCAATCAGTAATTTAATGCAGTTATTGTAGAGGAGTGGGGGTTGGTTGTTTGTTAAAATAAAAAGGAAAACTTTTCTCTGTAGCAGTATAAAGGTTTTTTTCTGAGAACTTTAAAAGATTCCAACTTTCAACATCAATGCCTTTACACGATTTTGGATTAAATTAGCAATTTTTTTTTAAAAAGGAAGTAAGCATAGTTAAATCATGCACATATATTTGAATGTTGGCTGGCTCCTCATATATCATATTCTTGATTGGTCTGAACAAAACTTGGTAAAAATACCCTGCATTATTCCTCTTGAAACGCTGACATGACTCAACAAAAACAAAAAACTCAAAACCTTTTTTAAGGGCCAGAATATTTTAGAAGTTTAATAACATTTAATGTTTTTGACAAGGCTCTTGAAGGAATATAGTCTAAAACAGTGGTTCTCAACCTTTCTAATGCCACGATCCTTTAATACAATGTCTCATGTTGTGGCAACCCCCAACCACAAAATTATTTTCGTTGATACTTTATAAATGTAGAGTATATGTGCAGACCTGTTTAAATTACCATCAAACTCTTAAATTCGTACACTTAATAATTTACTACAATATCATCACAAAATTGTTCAATACATTATCTTAATAGCAAAAAAATAAACACGAAGTACATATAATTATACACCTCAATATCATACATTGTACGCCAAAATCTTAAGAGTAAACAGGTCTGTATGTGTTTTCTGATGGTCTTAGACGACCCTTGTGTAAGAGTTGTGCGACCCCCAAAGGGATTGCGACCCACAGGTTGAGAACCGCTAGTCTAAAAGGATCTAAACTTCTAGAATTTCAGAATGTAAATTGATAGAAATCGATAGAAAACTAAAAATTAGATGGCCACTTCATTACAAGATTTTTCAACAAGACATTCATTTCCATTTCAAAAGAGTAGCCCATTAAATTGTTTTTATCTTAAAAGGACCATATATTTGAAATTTAACTAAAATAGACATTTCAAAGGTCCCTGCTTTCATTGATTATGGAATATTGAAACTGGTTATTATTAGATAATAACTCTTAAAAATTAGATTGCTTCCTACTCATCAATCTTAAGTTTTTTAAAAGTTGATTTAATCAATTTTAAATACAACTGCTTATGAATGCATACCCAAGCAATGCATGATATTCTTTATTTTATAAGGGGAACATTTTCTTCACATTATATGATTTTACCGCTGACGTAGCAATGTATTTTTCTATTGAAGACCTAAAGACTAGTACTTACACACTACTGTCTGTTACTGAAATGGTGTCATCAGTTAGTGCATCACTGGACAAGCTTTGTAACTCACTGTCTTGTGCCGAAACAGGAGCATAGGACACATGGGCAGGATAGGAGGTACGAGGGTAGTACAATGGAGATCTAAAAAGAAAAAAGGATATTTAACTCATACTCCTTAGCTGTTGCAAGGGATTTACCATCTTTGTAATTAATAAAGTGTTATGTAAATTGCGTTTCAATAATAAATCAAATTTTCCCAAAAGGTAAGGAGGAGAGATAAATAACATATAAAATATTAACTTACATCTAAGTTTCAATGCACCAGGATTAAAATATTTCTAAATGGTACAGGGTAGTATATTACTATTACTACTGTAAGGTTTAATTAAAATCATAAACCTGTTATTTTAAAAAGAGGCAAAAGAAGAAAAAATGGATTTGAAATAACAACGCTTTAACCCTCATGTGCATTTACATATGTACTTATTTAAATACCTTTTTTTTTAAAATTAATGTTAACTTTGTTTAAAAATTAAATTAATAATTTTCATACATTGTTTTACTTTGGTGGTATGTGAATGTTTTACAATGCTTTACAAGCAGTGAACACTAGTGAACACCCTTGCATTTGTATTACTTTGCAACTTGATCTTATAAAGTTAAAAAGCCTTGAGGTGGAATTTGTTAATATGTCCAACTTTAATACTTTAATAACTCAGTCGTTCTCAACCTTAGGTATGCCGCGACCCTTTAATACAGTTCCTCATGTTGTGGCGACCCCCAACCACACAATTTTGTTGACACTTTATAACTGTAGAGTATAAGTGTTTTCAGATGGTCTTAGGCAACCATAAAAGGGGTCGCTACCCACAGGTTGAGCACCGCTGCTCTAACTAGTGAGTTAGCCTTAATTAAGAACTTTGAGAGATTAAGATGCTTTTTTTTTTGCTTAAAAATTAAGTACTTCTACTATATTCATAACTTTATGTCATAAAAAATGAAAAAGGATGCTCATCCTCTCTAATTTAATTTAATATTTTTAATATAGTAATTCATAGAAATTAGAATACAGTCTGACGCCAACAATGTTTAAGGCTTACCCTGTTACAGTCTCTAATCGCTGAGTTGCACCTATCACATCTGTTCTTTTAGAAGTTGAGTGGGTTTTGATCACAGGTAATGGCACAGGAGTATTAAAGTCTTTGCTTTCTAACTCTTTATCCTCATGAACAACTGGTAAGAGACCAGACTGTGAAACTGGCCGTGCACTATTTGAACCACTTGACCGGCTTGATTTGGGACTGTCAACATAGTTTTGAACATATTGCACATAACAATCTGAATTAAGAAATGCTGGATAAGTCACATTGCGCATAAAACTTTCAACCTCCTCCTGAGCTTGATCAAAAATACATTTATCCAAGGTACACTTGTTGCAAAGGTTTTCTGATATTTCTTTCTTTACTTCCTTAGATATGCATTTTATTTTTTCATTACGTAATAGGTAACGCTTATAAATAACTTTTTGTAAATTGAAAATATTATCTAAAGAATTATTTCCTATAGTTCTCTTCAACCCTTGACAAGCAAACCAGAACTGGAGCACTTCAGAACCTCCTTCTATCTCATGCTCCATGAAATCTTTTAAAAGCTCAACTCCTTCAGAATCATCTAGTAGGAAGCTAAGATTTTCAGCCCACTTGAGGTGTGGTGGGGTGCCATTTTCAGAATAAGGCGGCGAGTTTGCAGCACTTCCCTCTGGTTCGAATCCAAGAGGGGCAGCCATTTCGCTGTCTTCACATTCACAAAGACTTGTATGTGTTAATGACTCTGTGACTTTAATCCCTTCCAAGTTGGACTTGCGAGGTGTCGTGGCGGGCGAGTGTGAGTGGTCACCCTTGGTGGAAGTCCCACTCTTTGAAGAAGAGTGTGACTTACTGGAGACATGGCTCTTATGAGAGCTGCTACTTTTGGTGGAGTTGCCTCCATTAGATTGCAGCTCATTCTCCTCCCCATAGGTTGGTGGACGAGGAGCAGTTTCTGTGAAGTTACTACCACCAGACTGATTTAAAAAATCAACAACTTTTGTTGTCATGGCAGCGAAAAAGTTCTATTCCATGAGGCTTGTAGCAGCCTCAGATCCAGAAACAATATTCCATTACTTCATCTGTGAAGGAGAAAAATGTATATGTTTTTATTTCTTTTTTTAAAATCATTTAAGTAAATACATGCAGTGCAAAATAAAACAAGCTGCAAAAATTTTATAATAAACATCAGCTACACAATAGAAAGTGAGAGAAGCACAAAATTTTTTTTAAAAATTGAGCACACATCAGCCAACACTTGGGCTTCCATTAGATAATATTAAATACAGAGTTTAGTGATAATACAGAGTTTAGTGATAGGCTCATGCCAAGAAGATATATCAACAAGCAAAAGTACTAATGTAGGAACTGCATCTCTATTACAGAACAAAAATCAACCCAAATCTTAAGCTACCAATGTGTAGTGGTAATTTTTATTTTTTTAAACTCAAACCTTTTGATCCTGCCTTCCTTTTCACAAACATACACAGGAAAGGCAGAAAAAATGAAACAGGCTTAGAGCTGTTGAGAACATCAAAGGGTTGTACCTCCCCCCTCCCCCTCCAATCAAATCCACTTTGGACTGGGGCAAAGCCCCACTCAGAGCACATGTTTGCCACTTTATTATCCCCAAGCCTTTGCTGTCTACCTGGTAAAATACTTAACACTGAGCCCAAGAGGAAGACACATCAAACTTGCTGAAGAGCCAGTTTAGTATAAGACAAGCAAAGAAAAAGGGGAGAAACCTTTTGACCTCTGTAAAAACAGATTAGGGTAACCCATGAAATACCTAGAGTAACATAGGTCCTTTCCATAAAAATATTGCTTTTTATTTTAAATCATTACAATTTTAGTTTAAATTTAAAACCTTTGATATAAATGTACTTTTTTTTTTTTTTTTTATTTTCTGTTATTTTTATTTTTTTTTTTTTTTTTTTTTTATATTCTGGTATATTTAGTTTTCTTTTCTTTTTTATTTTATAGAAATAAAAAAAAAAGTACTTTTTAGAGAAACATAGCAGTTGCTTGAAAACATAAATATAAATCTTTAAAAAATAAATTATTTAAACAAATTAGCTCTCTATAATACAGGCATGTTTAAATGTTAAACCTATTTTAGTCATTTAAATTTTTTTTTATCTTTAAGTGAATTAATAATACCACTATATTGCAATTACTATTAAATGCAAGATCATGGGCATTCTTTAAAAATTATTGGAAGGTCTCATATTCATCATCTAGAATAGTTTACATCAAGTGGGATAACCCTTCTTTTTTATAATAATAAATACATAAATAAATTGTATATAGTAATACTGGTATTAATATGTTTTTTTCATTTCTAATGCACATGAGAAGAAATTACTTTTAAAGGGATCTGCAGATGACAGGTAAATGGCTGAGTGTTTAATCAAAGTATCAGTGTAAGGGTGCATTTGAAATTAATGAATAATAAGGATGTCAATATCGCTTTTATTTTAAATGCAGTATTTGTGTACGAAAAAAAAAGAAAGACATCCTCATTAAGGAGGAAAATATCAGTTATATTTTGCAACCAACTTGTTAAAGCATGAATTATTACTTCAGCTTTTTGTTAATTTGTTTTGTTTCTCTTGTGACATAACACTTGTATTACTTTTTTTTTCTTTGTGTGTTTTTTTTCTCTCATAGTTTTATTGAGTAATATTTATAAGTAATGCATTTTTATAAAATTCAAGATAAATTTTAATTTAAGCAAAAGAATATTTCCTGTTATGGCTAATCTTTTATTTTATTATTATTTTTTTTTAATTCTGAAGGAAAAAAAGAGCCTCATGATCATGTCTTCACAGGATTACTTAACTTTTTTAATGTAGCCCATGCTTCCTGAGCTGTGAGAAAAAAAATATTGAACTATAGACTGTTTCACCACAAGACTGCAGCACAGTACCAGTACTTAAATAATAATTATATATTCAAACAAAAGTCAAAAGATGTAATCTATGTGGAAATTATAGAGAGGTGGTATCTAGTATTTATGTTAACACTACTGTCTGAATGGGACATGAATATTAGGATATGAACATTGAATAGCATATTTTTTAATTAAGGAAAAGTAGACAAAAAATGATTCAACACTATCAAAACTAAGATAAATGGTACTTGTAGATTATAGCAAATATATCCATGCTTTTAATGAACACAGGAATTCCGCAATTATATAATATTGGATTACTATTATAAGATGTGGTGTCTAATGGAAGTTATGGTATTATAAATCTAGTAATTAATTAGTTCTAGCATGTTAATCTGTGAATATACTAAAAAGACTATAATGAATGACATACTTAAAGACAATAATAATGTAGTTATATATTATATTTATATAGCATATAGCTCCATCACCACAATCTGAACTTATTTAATTAATGAATGCTATTCCTGGCAAGCCCAGGAATCCTTAAGTATGCATTTTATTAGACATGTTAAAAATTAAAACATAATACTCAAAGTCAAAGGTTAAAAATGCTAAAATTAATAAATATAAAAAAGTTGGCTGAGTAGGCTTAAGCTAAAGTAAGTTATTATTTTAAGTATTAAGTAAGTTAAACTAGTCTAATACTGACTAGTAGAAGTATGTTATGTATGCAGAATTGCAAATTAAAATTTTTTTAAAGTTTGATTACCCCCAGAAAATGTGATGATTTATTTTATATCTTCAGAGATACTATTATTATTACTAGACTGACTATTACTATGAATTGCATTTCAAATAGTTAAATAGGTCTGAACTGTGGAGGCTTACTCTTCAAACGTCGGACAACTTGTTACTTAGCTTACTGCTGGCTTGGTAAAGAGTCTACTCACTATTTTAATTCCTTTCGTTTCCAATCCTTTTAAAAAAAAATTAAATTATTATATAGGCAGACCAACCTATTACAGACTGTATAATATTAATACGGCTATACACTTAAAATTAGTCAAACTACTGAGTATTGACTTTCATTTTCATTGGGTTTGATTAGCTTAATGTAGCTGATTAACTGCTCAAACAGACAAATCTTACTCACTTTTTGTTCACTTTATGAAAACTAAATTGAAAATTGATTTAGACACACGCAATCGAAGATTTAAATTTGAGAATTATTAACAAACAAGGGCACCAAAATTATGCGAGATACAAACAATCGCGCTAGGCATGCATGAACAATAGAAATCCGGATGTTCCACAACAGAAACAGGCCGCCATGAACGCCATTCTGGTTCACTGATCGGACACATAGGGGGCGCTACTGCAACTATTTTTATCTTCATTTTTATTTTATTCTTCAACTTGCCAAACAGGGAGAAAATAATCCCAGCAAGTTTTTATGGTGAGCATTCTACGGGATAAAAAACTCGGGCCTATCAATAATGTCATTTATTTATAATACTCCTGTCATTTATTATAGTTCTTTGTTCAAATTGTCGCTTCAAATAATATTTAATGCATTTTTATTTTTTTTTTTTTTTTTTTAAACTTAAATGACCAAACTTAATTTTGATTTGTTAGGGACTAGGGGCCCTAAAATCCCTCAGCACGGTCCTGCTTTGGTGTAGTAGTTAGGGCTAGTGCTCAATATTGCGTCTGAGCTGTTAATAACCAAACGCATCCACTAACTTGGACTTGAGATCACTAGTGGCTCGGCAGCTAGCACTCACGTCTCAATTTGTAAAAAGTTATGTTTGCCTAGTCGCATATTTTATCTTAATCTTATGCACAGTTGCATCACGAGAAGTGGTTCTACCCACTGCGGTTATCTCCTGGTGTCACCCCATCAAGACTTATTACATTCAGTTTCAGGGACCTCCTACGACAGTCTGGTCTTGTGACAATGTGCTTTGTAATACACTACTCCGCTGATAGAACCCTCCTCACGTATTCAATTTAGTTGTGTTATAAAACCGACTTGATCGAGATCTGTCAAATTTACTTTCTATTTGGATGTCACCCCCTTTCATAATGTCCCGAGTACGTTATGCACCGCTACACTTCGAGTAACGCTACTCTACTGCTTATGCGCATAGTAGTCATAGCGTCAAAAGTGATAATGAATTACAAAAGATGCAATAACTTTTTTTAAATTGCTCACGAGGAGGCAGTCAAAAAGTTGCTACCTTCCCTTTTCACTCAAGCATAAAAATAAAGAAATGAAATCAATTATTAAACCTTTAAAAAGTATCAAAATTGTATATGGTTGAACAAAAAAAATTGATGTCAATCATTGTAGAAAATGAATCATCATTTCTACCAAATTTAAAGTGAAACATTTATTGCTTAAACTGGCCCAGGCACATTTCAATGTAACATATAATATAATATAAGTATCTATAAAATAGCTAAAATATCAAACGTCGAAATTGACTAAACAGAAAAACTATGACTGCTGTGAATATGATTCTGCAAGAGCATAATTTGCATTAAATCTCTTACTCTTACAACCTATTACTGATCAATGACAGTACTGATAATCAAAGTGAGTGTAGGGTAAAGGATACTTAAAACTTAAATCGTTCTTTTTATAACGCACATCAAATTAACCTTGTATTACAATTGTATTTGTGAAGGTTCTTACCCACTTGACTTGTATTATTTGTATATGGTTGTGAAATCAAGTGACACTTGTGTCTTGCCTTAAATTTCATCATCCATTCATGCTAAATTATTTTTGTAAGTGTTATATATTCTACTGTAAACAAAAAGAAGTGTAGGCTACATGGTAGGCTAGTCCCTAAAAAGTAAAAAAAAAAAAGAGTAAAAAATACAATAATTAATTCATTAATTCCAGCACACCCATATTTATCTTCTACATATTTTTAATTTAATTTAAAATTCAAAGAAAAGAATGATTTGGATAGTGATTTGATATAGATATTAAATTTAGATTAGGCTAGCGACACAACACAAGTGAAGTTTGTACTGCGTAGTTTATAGTTAAAAAAAAGTTAATAATATTAAAATTAATATATGCTGGCTACGCCATCGGCTACCGCTACTTACCGGTACCGGTAATTATTTTAGTTAAGTCATTTTACTTCAGTTTAAGTTTAGGAGTTTAGGTAATCATCAGGTAATGAAAAGAAATTGTGTACTTAGTAACTATACTATATGAATAACTTTTTAACGAAATCTAAGTTAAATTTAGAATTTAGTACTAAATCACAGAAGTTCAAATCAAAAGGTATGTCACAGTTCAGTTCTTAAATAAACAATTAGTAATAAGAATATCAAAATATGCCGTCTAACTTAAATATTCAATGACCAAGATATTTTACTTTGACTTTGACATGACATCAAGTATCAAGATATGGTTGCGGTTAAAAGTCAAAAAGTACAAGTAGGTATACGGTATATAATTAGAAAAATTATTAACAATGAACAATATTGACCTGTCTAACCATACCGGTACTCTGAAACGAATACACACAATGAAAAATATGACATAAGGTCGAAAAGGATCTACTCTGCTCACGGTAATTAGTGTTAATGATCTTCAATACACTCTAAGTCACACCGTCAACAAAAACTACACACATAGCACACTACACAACAACATATTCAGGTCACACATTTGTCCCGACGCCGAAAGTGCCCCTCATTCATGTGACGTCAAGGCCCTTAGAAGTACCGCACCAATCAGAACAAAGATAGAATTTTTTTTTTCTTCTTCTTCTTGGTAAAATAAAATAAAACATTGGTTTACCCCTTTCTGATAAGGATCCGTACAACTTGTGGCTCTCCCAATATCTTTTTAAAACTACATAGTCGTGCTCTTTCTACTAACATTTTTTTTAAAAGGGGGGGGTAGGTGTTGATAAGGATCCGTACAACTTGTGGCTCTCCCAATATCTTTTTAAAACTACATAGTCGTGCTCTTTCTACTAACATTTTTTTTAAAAGGGGGGGGGGCGGGGCGGGGCGGAGTGAATATGGCAACGGACTCAATGGAGATAATGAATTCATTCTGTTAACTTTCTTTTAAGTAGGTCATTAAAGTTAAAGACAGATAATAATGATGTTTTACCAGAAAATGAAACTTTCTTTTTAAAACAAACAAAAAATTATAAAGGCCTATATATATATTTAATTCGTGAGAAATCCATGTCTTTAAAACTCTTTGTAGCACAAACCATGTAGAGTATTTATACACGATGTATGGACGGCCTCCAGTCCTAAGCCTAAGATGGGGGAGAGAAAAACACTTAAAACACCGGGCTGCACGATAGAGACGAATGTTGTGCGAGGGAGAGGAAGTAACCTGGGGGGGGGGGGGCATTATATGCATAACTATGCCCCGTCGAGACCCAGCCGCCTTTGAAATGGGGGGAAAAAAAAGCATTCGGCCTATAAATTACACTAGCGTTCTTCTTGTCGCCTTTGATGTTCGCTCCAGTCGCCATTACACCAAGCATTAAATCAGACAAAGCGAATGTTGGAGGGAAAAGCGCGAATGGGTAGGTTGGTTCGTGTACGCAGGAGACAGATTACATTTTTTTAAAGGAATTATTATTTTTATTTTAAAAAATTGGTGTTAAGAAACTAAAGAACTAAAAGGGGACTATAATTTTTGTTTTTTTTTTAAATTGCTTACATTTGCATCCAGCCCTATTTGAAGTAGCTAGAGGGCTTTTCAGTGTAAGATTGCTTTCAACTATTAATTATGCAAACTATTATATATAAAATCAATAAACATTGCTTTAACTTTAATTAAAACAAATTATTTCTTTTGTTTTTAAATATCTCAGACAACTGCTCAACAACTGACCAGCATCAGTGTTAAAATATTCTCTCCGGGGAAAACGAAACAAAGACAGTAGCATACGTGATTTAACAGCGCCTGCTGTTGGTTTGCTGTCAAATGACAGTTTAAAATTCTAAAGTAGGAAGTTCCCTTCTGGGGGTCCTTAGGGCTCACCACACCAAACGGAAATGTTCTCTTGGTGATCTGTAAGTCTAGCAACTGTCTAATATATTAAATAGATTGCATATCGCAAGCGCTCTCTCTACACCTCGACCATCAAGGGTTGACATTTCACGGAACACTTCTGTCATATAATATAATAATAAATAAATAATAAAGCCAGTTCTCAATTCAAGAAAGGTCCATTTACGAGCACCCAAATGTAAGATTTTATCAATATAATTATAATGTATATTTTTAATGTTTTAAATCTGGTCTTTGATTGCCATTTGTTCAACCTTTTTATTTTAACATTTAAATGTTATCTTTGAAATAAAGTACATGTTTGAATACTATGCCAGGCTTTCATATCATATGAATGTAAAAATAAAAATGTGTACATTCAGAATCACACTGTATATGCAATAGTGCGTTCATGAGGTACGGTGCGTAACAGTAAAAAAAAATAATGAACAACCTCGTAGACCTCATACGTAAATCTTAAACTGCCTATATTGAAAGCACTTATCACTTACATTTTAGATAATGATTATGCTGACCCCAGCAAGCAACATGTAACACTGTGCCGTGTGAGAGTGTTCAGTGCTATTCTACAGAATAAGATTTTAAAAACCTTTAACAATACTTTTTTCCAAATACATATAGTGGTAGTGGTTCTCAACCTTCCTAATGCCGCGACCTTTTAATACCGTTCCTCATATTGTGGTGACACCCAACTAAAAATCATGTTCATTGATATGTCATAAATAACGTGTTATCCGATCGTCTTCAGCGACCCCTGCGTCAGATTGAGAACCGCTGATACAAAATTAATATATTTTAAAATTTGAGCTGGTATCTATGTTATTTTAGTTTAAGTGTAGGGCGTTGTTGTTTTTTTTCATGACCACCATTTTCTCAGAGAGAACCATGCATAAACTATTTTTAAATAGATAAAATAGAGAGGAAAAAGAAATTACTTTCCCGTTTTTGAAACTTGCCAACATCCTTTTGATAACTTGACATGAAGAATCTTTTTAAAGGGTTTCTGTTTGAGAGTCCGGGAAGAGAAGAGGCGGGATGGGATTACTGTAACAGATGTCGGCCAGTACTCACATCAAACATCAAAGGGTATCGTGACAGGGACCCCCTGTTTGTTCCTCGCGACATCGCGCGTGCAGCCCGTCCGGGACAGGGGTGGGCAGAAAAAAAAGACTGCAGGGAAGCAACATCAAAGGACGGGAGGGTGAGTGGCGGAACAAAGCTAACAAGAAGATCAAAGGACTGCTGCCGCCGGTAGCCAAGCCAAAAGGTTCCATTTACGAG